GTGTATCATACAGACACAAATGTTGGATTCTTTATGATAAAATCAAATAAGTAAATCTCAATGTATTTAATCTTTTTAGAAACATATGATCAGGGTGGTTTACAGGCTGTTCAGCTGGAGGATGGCACCACTGCATATATTCAACATATGCCTCCATCCAACACCATCTTGGCCATCCAGGCAGATGGTACTGTAGCAGACTTACAGACAGAGGGCACAATTGACGCTGAGACCATCAGTGTGCTGGAGCAATACTCTACTAAGGTTAAGATCATTAACTTGTCACTTATTCTGTATTCTTATTTATTGCGTGAGTTTATATGGTTTAGTTCCCCTATTATGACGGAAATTAATGTGCAATGGAATGCTAAGCCAATTTACACTTGTGTATATACTTTGTGTACTGTATATGATGTTCCTTATGTTAATTTGTATCATATTACAGTTCATGTTAGTTTAGAGGAAGTGTTATCTGTGTGTGTGCAGATGGAGGCCACAGAATGCAGTACTGGGTTACTTGGTCGAGGGGACTCTGATGGTGTGCATATGCAGGTACTGTCTCTACTGATACTATTTTCTGCATTTATTAAATAAGTAACTTATAATCGTAATGCTTTGAATGTTAATGAAGCAGTGACCCACTTTTGTGCGCTTAGATTGTACTGCAGGGTCAAGACCGGTCACCTAGAATCCAGCATGTTGGGGAAAAGGCCTTCAGATGTGAACATGAGGGATGTGGAAAACTCTACACTACTGCTCACCATCTGAAGGTGAATTCATGCAAGACAGAAGAGATACAATACACATATTTCACAAATGTGTACATTGTCTCTGTTGTTAATTATCCACTTCTGAACTCATGTGGCTTTCTAAATATTTTTAGGTACACGAAAGATCGCATACTGGGGATAAGCCATACATTTGTGAACATATGGGTTGTGGCAAAAAGTTTGCAACAGGTAAAGATTTTCCCCAAAACAGTTGTTTTTTTATTACTTCCAAGTTTTTTTGTACATGCATTATTTTTCTTTCTGCTGTCTTCAAGGGTATGGTCTCAAGAGTCACGTCCGAACACACACGGGAGAGAAACCGTATCGCTGTCAGGAGTTCAACTGTCTCAAGTCTTTCAAAACCTCTGGAGACTTACAAAAACACACAAGAACACATACAGGTGTTTGGCATATTTAACCGGCCTGTAATAATGGTTTCATCTTGTTTATAAAATTAAGTTGTCTTAAAAATATTTGTCAAATTTTGGTCTGTTTTTAAATTTGTTGTGTTGCATAACTATTCATTTTGTAGGCGAAAAACCATTTAAATGTCCATTTGAAGGCTGTGGGAGATCTTTCACCACATCCAACATTCGTAAAGTCCACATCCGTACTCACACAGGCGAGAGGCCGTACTACTGCTCTGAACCCAGCTGTGGAAGGGCCTTTGCAAGTGCCACCAATTACAAAAACCACATGAGGATTCACACAGGTACCTGTCCTATCAGCTCTAACTGCTTCCAACATCTAATAAAGCATACATTTTAAAGAAATCAGAAGCTTTGAGGTTGCAAGCATTTTTTTCTCACAAAAATAAGGTATAATTTCATACCGTAAGCTCAAAAGTATGTTTGTCTCATCATATTCAGGTGAGAAGCCTTACGTCTGCACTGTTCCTGGCTGTGACAAGCGTTTCACTGAGTACTCCAGCCTGTACAAGCACCATGTAGTTCATACTCCCTGCAAACCCTACAACTGTAATCACTGCGGAAAGACGTATAAGCAGATTTCGACCTTAGCCATGCATAAACGCACAGCGCACAATGACACCGAGCCCATAGAAGAAGATCAAGAAGCATATTTTGAGCCCCCAGCAGGTCTGTTTACTTAAATCTCCAGCTACAAACTATGACCATCTAATATTAACTGAAAATCTGAATTTAGAATTGCCATCTTTTTCAGAGGCTATTGATGACCCTGGGTTAATGTACACTCCAACGGTGGTGGAAGATGACTCTGGGTCTGAGCAGGTGTCAGGATCAGAAGTCATGGGACAACATCATGTGGCTCTCATATCTCAGGATGGCACACAACAGGTCTGTGATGACCTAAATAAATTCCCACAAGGCCTATATTGATCACACACAACATCATCAGAACCTATTTTATTCCATACTTCAGTACTGTACTTGTACTTTTACTTTGTAGAACTAGAGTACAATCTACGGAAAGGTGGTGGTATACAGATATTTTCCAAGTAAATACTTGTTGTCTTTCCCCTCTCAGGTTCTGTCTCAAGCAGATATGCAGGCTATGGGAGGCACGATTACCATGGTAACACAAGAAGGAACCACCATAACCATCCCAGCACATGAAGCGATGCTTTCCTCAGGAGGAGCACATTCTATTACTATGGTGTCTGCAGATGGCACAGAGGGACAGGTAAGTGTTGTTACTTTAAGGAATAGTCCACCAAAAAATGAAAATTCTGTCATTTACTCATCCTCATGTTGTACCAAACCTGTATGAATTTCTCCCTTCTGTGGAACACACAAAAAAGATAATTTGAAGAATGCTGGCAATCAATTACCATTTCAGAATTCCATTGCATTTTTGTCCGTACTATGGATGTCAGTGGGACCCCAAACTGTTTGGTTACCAACATTCTTCAAAAAAATGTATTTCTTTTTCCACAGAAGAAATAACTGCATACAGGTTTGTAATGACATGAGGATGAGTAAAAGATAACAATTTTCTTGTTTGGGTGGACTATCCCTTTAAATAGCTTGCATGCTACTGAGGGACTCTATTACTTTACTAAATAAATACAAGTTGAGCTTATTGTGTAAACTTTTTATTTACATTTTAGGTGGCTATTGTGACGCCAGATCTGTCTGTGTACCAGACAGAAGAGGGGGAGCTTGTACAAGATCAGGAACAGCATGTGGTTTCCACAAGCCCACATCCAGTCACACTGCTGGCTACTTCTAATGGCACACACATAGCTGTGCAGGTATACAATATATACACACCACACACGTTATGGAATCTTCCTCTCACAGTCACATTAACATGCTCAGTTAGGATGGGTTGCAAAAGCTTAAATCATGTGTTTACTTTGCCTGAAAGTACACAATAAAACCTGCAGTAATTGCCATAAACCTTTAAACCCCCTTTAAGGCTGGAACATGCAATTATTGTCAAAAGACTAGACTGTTTGTTGGGGGGTTGCAACCTTCTTTCCATTAGGTGTGTGTTTTTAGGATGTGTATTATAGATGTAGGTCTCGACTGAATTAGTTTTGTGGTTCTGTAGGTCTAATGTTTGAAAACTTTTGAAATTAAATGCGCTACGCATTTCAGCATGATATCAATTATATTAAACTAAGCCAGATCAAATGTATTTGATACACTGCTGGCATTCATTTAAAAAAAATTACTATTTTTTTTTGCTGATGACTTGATTTACAGTTTTGTGGATCATTGAGAGAAAATGAGTGCAAAATGGGTGTAACTGTAAACTTAAAATTGAAGTACACAAAATCAGTCACCAGTTTTATGCTCTTAAAATCTAAAATTGTGGCTTCTAAATAACACTTTTTAATTAAGCATTGATTTCAGCTCTTAGTGTAATAATAACTGAGATCAGTAGCAGATAATGATCTAATATTTATGATTAGTGATTGTATCACTTGTCTTTTTTACACTAATGGACAACTAATTGAACAAACTGGTCTAGTCCAATCAGCCTTGTATTGATCTTTACACTGATGTGCCATTCAGTTCTGATTAATGAGCCCTCATTGCCAACAAAGGGTAAGTGTGTTGTTTTTTTATAGAAGGAGGGTGACCATGTGTTTGGTGGGTAGTGCCATTGAGCAAGATTGACAATTTTGAAATAATTTGTTGTACGGCATCTGTAAACAATTTTTATTAGATAAGTTTTACAATTTTTTTTTTCATTTCCCCCTCTTAGCTCAGTGATCAGCCCTCTCTAGAAGAAGCCATCAGAATAGCATCAAGAATACAGCAAGGAGAAACCCCAGGCATGGACGATTAACTCGCTAAACTTATCACTGTGAACTAAACGTCTCAAGGGTGGGTGAATATGTGTGTGTGTATATATGTAAGTCTGGGTATTGAAAATCTGTCAAGCATCATAGTTTTTCATAATGCTGACATCATGATTGCTATATACCAAGAAGATATTTTTTGTGTGGATATGTACATAACTGTTTTAAAAGTTTTTCTGTATATATTTGATTATGCTATTTTTTGCAAGCTGTTAAGAAAAGGTCTACAATTATGATTAAAAAAAAATAAAAGAAAAAAATAATTTAATTGTATTGTATTCTTTGACTTAACCCAGTGCAGAGTGCGGTTTACAGATTTCAGTGTTTGAGCACAACAATCATAAACTTAAAAAAAAAAAAAACTGGTAGCATTCATTTTATATTCACCATATAAATTCTAGGGACTTTCCAAAAATTATGGGGTTTATGTACAATACACAAAGAGACTGGAAACCCCCATTAATGTAATGATGTAAAAAAAAAAAAGTATTGATTTTAATTTTTATAATTGAAACTAAGACTGCTTAAGTGATTGCTATTGTTAAGGGATTGCCAGTCACTGAAGCTCTGCTATCAAAACAAATCCATGTGGCTAATTAAATGTACACCACCATTTAAACACTTATAAAATGATTAATCTCATCAAATATAATACCATGTAATTATTGTAATGTGTTCCTGTGTCACCAAGAACGGATTACAATGTAGAATGTGAAAAACTATCTTCACTAAAGCATTTCACTGATCAAGTGAAAGATCAAATGCGCCCATTACGTCGTAAGAAAAGCATTCGCGCCAAATTGAGGTCACAGACCTGAGCATTTAGGGGGAGGGGCTTGCTGACGTAGCACCTACAGAACCTATCTTTTAAACTTTAGAAGTCGGCGCTCATTGGTACAAACCACGTCACATGACCAACGGTCGCGGGAAGACTTTGAGCACGCTTGTTGGTGGGAGGAGTAGCTCGCCATTCAAACTAGTTTTGTAAACATTATTGTCTAAAACGACACGATTTTGGATGCTTTGACATGTTTTGAGAGTTTTACCATAGTTCGGCGTCTTATAAATCGCGGAATTGCTATCAGGAATTTATTTTTTCTAGTTCTTCAGTATCAGTTGGAAGTTTGTGGAGCAGCCATTTTTTCACCCGAAACGTCGCCGTGGACGCTGGTTAATACGATTACAACGTCGTTATCAGTTTTTATGCGACTGAACTGAACTCGTTTGGATTTGTCACGGAGATATCGGTCAGCGAGAGAAGACATTTTCCTCGGATAATCTGTAGCAGACAAGTTGGGAATCACATCGCCGTTTTTCTGGACTATTCATCAGCGCTCGGGTTGTTGCATTGCACGGCCAGTATTAGATATGTTTATCTAAATTAACGTTACATAATCTCTGCCTGATTTGCCAGCCACTTGGGCTGTTTTTTTTAATAGTTTTAAACTACTTGTTTTGTGTGTTTTTTTTTTTTGTATTACGTTACGTTATCCTTTTACAAAAACTGAACTTTTGCCTGGAAAGATGAGTTTCGTTACACGGAGGCACGGCAAGTCTCCAAATCTTAAACCCGTTCGCCAAAAGTTGCAGTTTTTGGTCAGTGACGGTGAAGAAGACAGCATTGAAGACGCGAACAACAGCACCGGAGCCGAATCGGGCTTCACAGAGCTGGACTCGCCGGTGTCCATGCGGCGCAGCGGCGATAAGAGGCCGGCGGACCTGGGCAGCAGCAGCCCGCTCAGCCGAACCAGAGACGACGACGAGTCCTGGGACGAGGAGGGGTTCGGCTCACCGTCTCGGGCAAAACCAACCTTTTACATGAAAAGCTCTCCATCGCCAAGGAAAAGTCCACAGGCTTACGACAGTTCGCCTGAGAGGAGTTACATTCATGATGACATGGAAGGATCCAGCTCTCCTGTTCCGGACTGTCCTGATACACCGCCCCATAAAACCTTCAGAAAACTCCGGCTGTTTGATACACCTCATACCCCAAAGGTTTGTAGTCACCGATATACAAAAATCGAAATTGTAAACTGAAATTGTATTTTCTGTTAACTCAGAAAATTGTATTTTGACTTCGGTTCTACTTGAATACAAAATAGAGTTTCGAAAATAAACTTTAGTAGTTATGATTTGAAAATCAGCTCTGAGCCTTTACTAGGTGGATGAGTACACCTAGAGTGACCCAGATATTGGACTAACTGTACAAAGTTGTGTAACAACAGTGAATCAGTCTATTGATACTAGCACATCATTACATCATCTGAAATGTGTAATGTTCTGGCTTTCCCCGTTTTTGTGTACTGACTTGAGTCAGTTCCTTCTGCTTTGATATTGGCTTTAAGAATGCGTTTTAAATGCTCTATAAAATGAGTATTAATTATGCATATCATTGTATCTACAGAGCTTATTGTCAAGGGCCAGGACAAAGGCATCGACGAGCCGGAGAGTCGCCCTGTTTAAGAATGTTGATTCCACAAGCAAAGCCTGTCTGGACGGAAGACGAAACCAGACACCTCTAGTAAACATCAACCCCTTCACCCCGGACTCCATTCTGGTGCAATCATCGACACTACAACGAAACAACAGGAAACGAGCACACTGGAATGAGTATGTTGACCATAGTTTAAACATGTCTTTTCTAGCCTTTCCTCGTGCTTTTTTTTTCTAAACGAGTTAACCTCTAGTTTACGGACTGCTGTGAAGTAGTTTTAGTAGAATGAAACACTGGCCATCTTGGACAGGTTTGTAGGACCGTTCGTTAAATCCGTTTACTAATTCTATTCCAAGACAAAAAGTTGGCGAAGAACCAGTTCCTCGTGTTCGCTCACTCACCGCGTCATGTGCTTAGTCAGGCCCCTCTGCTGCCCCCTAGAGTTTGTTGTCGGTGTTTACATCCTTTCAAATAATGTCTCTTCTTTCTGTAGCTCATGTGGAGAGGACATGGATGCAAGTGATCCTGAGATGGAGGATGAGCTCATTCCACCCTCAAAGGTAAAATTTAATTGACTTTTTATTATTGACTAGTTTTGATCTAATTAACACTGAAACTGAAAAGTAACTTTTTATATCAAACTTTGGACTTTGGGTGTTCTATATGACAAAGATTCTGTTACTTGATGTTAAGGCAGTTTCAGCCAGGATTTTAAGCCTCGTAACACTTATGGAATGAATTTTGGTGCATTCCTACTTGGCCTTCTAGTTAAGTACTGCTTTATTTTTGTGTCTAATAAAAACTGATATTTTCCACAGAGGATCACAATGATGGAGAATAACAACATGATGTCCAGATATGCGTCTGAATTCCATGAGTTGGAGAAGATCGGCTCTGGAGAGTTTGGTTCTGTTTTCAAATGTGTCAAGAGGTTGGACGGCTGTATTTACGCCATCAAACGTTCCAAAAAGCCCCTGGCAGGCTCTGTGGATGAGTAAGTGAACATAACATCTTTTTTTAAATACTATTATATACTCCATAACACCAACTATTGAATGGTGATTCTTATTGCTTTTTGTTTATTCCTATGAATTCTCCCCCAAATAGGCAAAATGCACTTCGTGAGGTATATGCACATGCAGTTCTTGGACAGCACCCCCACGTTGTGAGGTATTATTCTGCTTGGGCAGAAGATGACCACATGCTGATCCAGAATGAGTACTGCAACGGAGGAACCCTGTCTGATGTTATTGCTGAGAACAATAGATGCATGCACTTCCTTTCTGAGATGGAGTTGAAGGATCTGCTGTTGCAAGTCTCTCGTGGACTCAAGTACATTCACTCTACAGCACTTGTTCACATGGATATCAAGCCAAGTATGTATATGCTTGTTACACCCTTTACATTTTTTTAGATGTGTTTTAGACTTATAATGTTGTAATTTATATATTAATTTAATAATTCATTTTTTTTCAGGCAATATATTCATTTCACGCAAACCTGCTGCTAGTGTAGAGGAATTTGAAGATGAAGAAGATGGTCCCACCACAAGAGTGGTGTACAAAATAGGTAAGATACTAAAATTACATGCCCAGATGATTGTAACGGTAACATGTTTTATACAGATTTGGCTTTATGAAGTGGATGAGATTGACAATATTTTCCATATCAGGTGATCTAGGTCATGTTACAACGGTTACCAATCCACAAGTTGAAGAAGGTGACAGCAGATACCTGGCAAATGAAGTTCTTCAAGAGGTATATACTATTATTTATTCTTGGTCTTAAAGAAATTCCTAGCAGGTAACAATGGTCTGTGTAGTGCCACATACTAATTTAGCCGTTTTTGCCTACAGGACTACAGTAACCTGAAAAAGGCAGACATATTTGCCCTTGCTCTGACTGTAATCAGTGCCTCTGGAGCAGAGCCCCTTCCTACCAATGGAGAAAAGTGGCATGAAATCCGACAGGGCATCCTGCCCCATATCCCACAAGTGCTTTCTCAGGAATTTTTAAGCTTGTTAAAGGTAAGGGTTCTACTACAAATTAATCCCCTAAACTTCTCACTAGTGCTTTCTATTTCTGACAGATCTGCATTGAATGGTGTCTTGATTAAAATGTGGATATATCTTCCTGACAGCTTATGATCCATCCTGACCCAACACGGCGACCCTCAACCTCTGACCTCGTCAGACATCCTGTTCTTCTGACTGCTTCCAGAATGAGTGCTGATCAGCTGCGTGTAGAGCTCAACGCTGAGAAATTCAAGAACGCACTTCTGCAAAAGTATGATATATTCTTCCATTTCTAGGGGCAGATTTCAGGCTAGTTTTAGAAGTATTTTACTTATTATAGACCTATCAAATGCTGTTGTTTGAAATTGTGCTTTTGTTGAACTGAAATAATTCTGGTTTTCGTTTCTCAGGGAGCTAAAGAAAGCTCAGATGGCAAAGGCTGCAGCAGAAGAGAGGGTTCTGTCCACAGACCGTGTTCTTACACGTTCCACAGTCCAATCCAGCTCCAGAGCTTCTCGAATCATCGGGAAAAAGATGAACCGTTCTGTTAGTCTCACCATTTATTGAACTGAACCCCAGACAAAGGAGATGACCAGCCCTAAGTGGGAACTACAGTGGTGCTTATCAAGGACTTGGGCAACAGACAGCTTTGTCTGTAGTCAGAAGGATGACGCAGACTGTTTTGTGACATAGTGCTTATACTGTTTGGGACAAGTACCATGGTCTTTACTGAAGCTTGGGTCCTTCTGCATTGTATAGGCACTAGTGTCTGAGTACATAATGCAGATCTGCCCTAACCATTTAGGTGTGCCTTCTCAAAATCTCTTTGACAGAATTGCCTTAAGATGGACACTTTTTTTAGTGTAGATCTGTCTTCCTAATCTTTGCTTTAAGTTCCATAAGTAAGGGTCAGAATGGTCTCCCTGCACTTGCTTTCTCAGAGGTGCAGTGTTGCTCTTTACCAAATGGGAGATGTGTACCCCTATTGAGCCCTGATATGTGAATGTACCAGATCAAAGATTTGTGCACCTTACTGCCTGTGAAAAATGCCTGTTGGGCCACAGAAGTTGGTGGGGCTTGAGTTAGATTGCCATTAAAATGAGCACTTTGGAGGCAATGGTGAGCTTGCCACAGAAAGCCTGCTGCTATTCATGTTTGTCTGTATCCAGTTAGGGTTGGAAGATTTTTTTTTTTTTTTTTGTACTTTTAAATCATTTTATCCATCCAAACAAGCAAAATTTCATTTTGTTAGGGTTAGGGTTGGAAGATTTTTTTATTTTTTTTACTTTTAAATAATTTTATCCATCCGAACAAGCAAAATTTCATAATCCCATCAAGCTCCAGTACCTTTTTTTTTTTTTTTGCAGATTTTACATCCAGACATTTTTTTTTGCTCCGTCTAATCTTGTCAAATCTTGAATTTAACCAAGACAAACCATGCTTAACTGGAAGCAAATGATGATTTAAATGTACATATGACTTTCAAATCTCCAACCCTGTTTGTAGCATTAAAACAAGCTTTGTCCAGTTCATCTGATGTCCTTAGTTAATAATGTATAATTCTGATTTTTGTGTTACTTCAACTACATTGATAGGGTACTGTTTAGATTCTTTGGTCTTGGTAATCCTCAACTTCACTTTGTCTGTAAATACGTTCATTTGAATAAACCGTTTTCACCTAAACGCGCCTGGTTTGTTTTATATGAACTTTAATAGTATGTTATTTTTGAATGAGTGGATGGGTGGAGTCTTTTTTTTTTCGCTCAGTAGTTTGGGGTCCAGTCGTTTGATGCTTCACGCAGCCCGCCACCTCAACCTCAGTTAACTTGTATTTTAAACGATATTTGTGATTTAAATCTACAGTAAGGTGAAAAATGCATTCCTCTTTGTGGATGTACTGTCACATTATGACACTAAAGCGCTCAAACAGGTTACTGTTTCTGTGGTTAACCTCGAAAATGGGCACAACATCGGCGAACACAACTTCCAGTCGTTACTCATTTTGACTTGTAATCTACCTTTGCGGTTACTGAAACCTTTGTAAACACAGTTGAACACGAATATTGTCTAACAATCTTTTCGTTGTGGGAGGTTTATAATTCTCAGTCTGATAAATGCCTAATGATGTCATAGATTCCAGCCAAGTCCTTCAGCAGCACGCGCTCATCGCTGAGTGGTGCTCGAGCCGTTAGTTCTGGTTATAAGGTCATGTGACCGCTCTTTTGTAAAACCGCATGAGAAACCCGTTCACATCAAGTGCGACGCTAGTCAGTAGCGCAGAGACACTACCTCTGAAAATGGGACTAAGGGACGAGCTCCTCAAGGCAATATGGCATGCGTTCACAGCCCTGGATGTGGATAAAAGTGGGAAAGTGTCTAAGTCACAGCTGAAGGTTTGTTTTTGCCACCGAATTAACGTTCTTGTTCTTTTAAGTTTGGGCACTGGAGTGTAAACGCTGTTTCAGTGGCTCAGTGCAGGACATTCTTAGAGTTTAAGGACGTGTGAATCATAGTAGCCGCACTGAATGTAATTAATGTAAGAATGTTTCAAGTGACTTTTTTTTCTTTAGCATTTCAAACTAGTTTCGAAACTTCAAAACTTCTTCTGGTGTCTTGTTGTATGTAGTGTGTTACGGATGAGGTGTTGGATAATATATAACGGCAGCCTGAATAACTGCACACTTTTAGTTATTTTCTAATCCTTCCCAAAACGTTGAATTTGTTTAAAATGTGTCTTTAAATACATTCAGATGAAATGAAGGTGTTTTGGTTTGCAAATTAAATCAATATTTTGTCTAACCTCTTAAGTTATAAAGATGATAAGAATATATAAGGAATAGTTGTGTAATGTAATATCTGTATGCAGGTTCTTCCAAAAAAATATAATGAATACACACAAAATGATTGAGTGCTTTGATGAATTCTGCTAAAAAGAACTACTTCTACTTCTTTAAGCACTGATTTAGATGATGATTATTCAATTTGAATTTACATTAATGAATTATTATTGGATATGTTTTGGGGTTAAACTCGGTGTCTTTCAGGTGCTTTCCCATAACCTGTGCACAGTGATGAAGATCCCTCACGATCCTGCAGCTCTAGAGGAGCACTTTAGAGATGATGATGAAGGTCCTGTTTCCAATCAGGGATACATGCCTTACCTGAACAGGTTCATTCTGGACAAGGTGAGCACATTTGTCATTGTCCAAATAGGACTTTTCAGTTGTCAGGGTTTTGAGGATTGTGTCCTTTGTGTTGGGACAATATATTTTAAGTATTACTTAATATTTATATTAGTCTTTCTCTGGATAAAATGTATGTAGACTGCATTGACAGAGTGAAAACATGTTTTTGATGGCCATTCTTCTTATAAACAGCTTGTGGTTTTACATGCTGAGCTTTGCACTTTTTTATAAATGCTGTAATTCTTTTATGGATGTTCATTTTCTCATGTGAAAGTTTGTCATCCTCATGGTAAACTAACCCCAATTTGACTAAAACAACTGATGCATTTACTGTAGATCTATTGAAAGTAAATGTTAGATAACATAATGAAAGGCATCCGGGCATGAGAATTTGTTTCTTTTTGCAAGATAAATGATGTTGAAAGTAACATGGAAGAACTGCTTTCTTCGTAATTTCTCATTTTCTTGTGCAAAAAGGAAACAGAAGGAGGGAAGAGATTTCACAATACACCACAAAGCATTCAGTTCTGCTGTATATGAAAAAATAATTTGTTGCTGAAAGGTATTATAGGCAATGTTTAATTTTAGTGCTTAAAATTCCTACAATGGAAAGGCGAATTATACCCTTTGCTTATTTTATGTTTGTCTGAGGTCTCGTGTTTAACACACTTTGGGGATTTACATCACTAGCCATGTATTTTCAGCTTTCTCTGGTCACACTTGTATAGCTGTATGAGTGACCAAACACACACTCCACCCTGCTGCAAAGAGACCCGCCTTTCCCCTTTCTCTGCCTTCCACTTTGATTCTCAGGCAAGCAATTTAACTTGTGGTCAGTGGGAGAAAACAAGTTAAAGTGCTTAATTTGGTTTTACACTTATACATTCACACACATGCTAGTCATTGGCTTCTGTCTGAGACGGTACACTAACAGCTTAGTCACACATCTTACTTCTCGTTTTATGATGATGTATGATTTAGATTTTTGGGTAAATTATGCCCCACTTCTTTCTCACCCTTTCAGCCCTCTTGATTCCAGGAATGCATTGTCTGTAAAGTGCTCTGATGTCAAATGAGGAATAAAAGACATAGACCCACTCCACAAACACAATGCTATCAAAACGGGCTAGTGCTTTGTGACCCACTTCTTTTAGTACATAGTGTGGTTATGCTCCAGTATGACATGTTGTGACCACAGTATGATCAGGTTGAAAACGTGTTCGTTTCTCAGCTAGGTTTTACTTGAAACGATGGTTAGATGATGGTATTAACATGCCTAAATGACAAGAAACATACACTGTCTTTGAGGTCAGTGAGATTTATTTATTAATATTTATTAATAAAATTGTTTTATTCAGCAATGATGCATTAATTTGATTTTAAAAAGTACATGTTGTTAAAAAAACATCTTATCAAAGAATCCTGTATCAGTATCTATAAAAATATTTAACATCTGTTTTAAAAATATTTTTTGAAACGCAAATCAGCATATTACAATGACTTCTGAGGGTTCATGTGACATTAAAGAGTGGAGAAATGATGCTGAGCTTTGCCATCACTGGAATAAATGACATTTTAAAATATATTAAAATAGACAGCAGTCATTTTAAATTGTAATAATATTTCATATTATTTTTGATCAAATAAATGCAGCCTTGATGGGCATAAGAGACTTTTTTCAAAGACATTAAAAGTTTGAACAGTAGTGTACATTATTTAATGTACACTGTGTAGTCTACATAATGTAGTGTACATTATTGGCAAAGTGACACAGCTATCTAGAATGCTTGATTCTTATTGGTCAATCACAGCGTTTTACAGTTAAATAGGTTTGAATAATGACCACTAATGTGTATAATTGACCATTGTCCCAAGCAATTCATTTCCTGAATGTGCAAGTTTACTCAGCAGTGTCTTTCTCCTTGCATAATAAAATACTCAAATCAGCATTTTAAGTCCATTTATTTATTTTCCAAGTATCTGTGAAAAGTAGGATAATGGACAACTTCATCCCTTTCTTCTTTGTTATATTAAATAGTTGACTTTATGTGACTTCTAGCTCACAATATTCAGTGTCATTTGATTATACATGTAGATCCTCTATAGCTAGAAATTCGAGAAATGATTGCATTGACTAGCTGTCAGAGTCCATGAAGTCTTGCTCATCCCAAACACTTCCTACCGTAAAACGTAAGACTTTCTCACCCTCACGACCCCTCACAGTCAGAGAAACCATAAAGCAGTTATTCACAGGCGTGATAAAGTCTATTTATGAATGTGATGGAGCCCGAGCTCCACTGAATACAAATGAACAGCTTCATCTGGAGAAGAACAGAGGCTCCACTGGCCACTCAGGTCTCCACAAGGCCCCTATTGTGAGCCTCCCGGAGAAAGCCGGGGCGCGATGGGAGGTGCGTGTGCGAGCGAGGAATGAAATCTGGCACATATACTTGTAAAGAGGAGCTGCCATTTCAAAACAAACATACTTACACCACTGCAACCGAGACAACGCTTGAGTTGGTGGATTACAGTGACCGTTTCATGAGAGTTGTCTGGTCTCTTTTGTTGCACACATTGCTCCACCAGATGGAGGACTATAAATAGTGTTGGGCTATGAAAGTTCATTCGAGCAGTTCAGCTTCTTCTTGTGGTTTGGTTTTAAAGTATGAGTTCATAGCAGTGAATTAATTATAACTCGATTTAAGCCAGCCATAGGCTTAAGTTGTCATTTGCAGCCACAGATGAATTCTGCACGTTTTAAGTGCTTATGTCTGTATAAAATGTGGAATTCTGTTGAATTGATTGAAATGTGATTTTTTTTTTTCATTGGAGATGAAAGGATAAATTTCACAAAACATCTGAAAACCAAACATGCAACATTTTCAAACAACAGTCAGTAATATTCAGAGGCATTATATGCTTTATGGCTGTAATATGTTAGAGTAGACTAGCTTCCGTTAGCTTTTGACTTATTGTGTCCAACACACATTTAGTACTTTATAATTTGAATTTTGCCATTTGAAGACATAATTAAGTTTGGGT